TGTCTGTACTTTAGTCTTGCTGTCTTCCCTCAGACCACCTCATTCCTGATATGTGACCTTGCAAGATGCAACGCAGTGAGGGCAACACAAAATATTAGTGAAGATTGGTTTCTTATTTTTAGATGAAAACAAGTAGAAAGAGCAGTTCTAATATTTTTCTGCCTGCACTTCTATGGATCATTTTTCACATTTCCTTGGTTGGTGCCCCCAGATTTGGTATGTCCCATTTGGTCCTGGCTGAGAGGTATTGCTTTTCCAATTGCTCTTCTTTCCCATTGTGACATTGTTGACCATCTCTCTGATAATGCACTTTCACTGTGAGTGCTTTTCTCTCTCAGTATGTAGTGGGCAATTTGAGGTTCAAGTATGCCTTAGAGACTGTTTCCTACTAAATGTGGATGCAGTTTTACTCTCAGGTTCATAGTGGACTACTCCACCAACTGCCTACAAGAATTATATGCATAATATGATTTTTAAAAAAATGAGTAATTTAACATCAAGTTGAAAAAAAAACACATTGACAAAAAAAATTTAAAGGAAGAAATTGTTTCATAAGATTAAAGTCTCAAAATGGCCAGTGCATCAGAATTACCTACAGCACCAAGAAAATAAAAACAAAAAGAGTCCCTGCCACTAATTCCTGGATCCCACCTTTATTAGTGTAGATTCAGGTAGGCTACAGCTGAAGACCTACAGTGATATTGACACCCTCTACATCATGATAGGCACTGGATTTTTTCTCACCTAAATAACTGTAGGAAAGCTATTTGGACTCACAGCTGTGCTCCCTGAAGTCTTCAGTGTTCCAAACTTCTTGGTGCTCTCTATTCTGGGGCATAGCCTTTGTCTTCATGGGCCAGTACAACAGGTGAAACTCCAGCCATCACATCTGTGTACCAGGCATGAAGATGGATTAGGGAGCAAAAAAGAAATGGGTAAATAATACACATCATCTTATTGTTAAGGGAGCTTCCCAAAGCTATCACAGGAGATCCCCAAATTTAGAATGTAGTGTCTAGAATGAAGTCACATGTCCACAATTTAATGTAATAGAAATTGGCACATATATTGTGTATTTTGGACAACTATATTCTCAAATAATGGGATATTTATTACTAGAGAAGAAGTATAACCCTGGGTAGAAGCCAATGGTCTCTGCCAATATTTACAAATCAACAGTTCTCCAGGTCTTGGCTGGCTCTGGAAATCCAAGTGCATTTATGATTTGGTTGGAGAGGTTTTGTTATGACCTTCTCCTAAAGACATCATGTTTTGGCTAGAATTAGCAACTTGCTTAGAGAAGATGGAATAACTTCAGTGTAGTGAGAACGTGCACAAGACAGATTCCATCAGCTCTGCTCAGATCATCTTACAAGATGCTCTTGGGACCTCATTCTGACAAGCTATTTAAAATGGGTAAAAGACAACAAATAAACGCTATAATGAAAATGTACTGGAATCCTTGGAACAAAAATTGAAAGCTCTGTTCATTCCTTCTCAGGGTGCTAAAGAAGAAATACTAAAAAGAACAAACAAGATGTTTTCCCTTCCTAAAAATGGATCCTGTTGGAAACCCAATCTAAATGGAAATCTTCCCATCACAATGTCAAACAACTTTTGTTTAGAATGAAATCCACAACAACCAATAGGAGAGTTTTGGGCATGAAGGCTCCTCACAGAGTCCTGGACAACCCTGGGTATTGTACAGTGCTGTGGGTTAGCATTCACATTTTTCTTCTGAATGACAACCCATTGGTGTCCAGTAGGACTGGTGTCCCCCGGAGTGGTTTGATACTGCTGTCCTGCCTGGATGCCATGTAACTTGACTGTTAAACTCAAAATATGCATAAATGGACAAGATGAACAGGTGGCACTGACAGTCCCAAGAATAGTCAGAGACCGTTCTTGCAGAAACCTCTCTCTATCCAGAGGCATCAAGTAATCTCATTGATGATTACCAAAAGGATTCAGATAATCTAGTGAGCCTGCAACATTTCTGATTTCTAGGTATCTATTTTAAAGACTAGTATAAGACTCCAGAAATTCCAGGACTATAGGTTGCTACCCTAGAAATAACATGCTTCACTTTATCTCTCCCTACACCTGCTTCTGCTGGAAATGAATGAATTGTAGCAACTGCAGTTGCCAAATGCCTTTACTGATTTGAGATGTATCATTAGTCTCATCTTTAAAGCAGGAGTCACAAGTTCAAGGGTGTTTCCAATATACTGTTCTCTATAGAATCGACTACGATTAATTAGAACACATTTTTTAAAATGTCATTCAAGAAGATTTTTTTTTCTCCCTTAAAGATGGCTTTCTCACAGATAGTTTTAAAATGATCAGCGACAACTAAATCAGCCTTTTAAGTCAGTACATTTTCAAGGACAGAACAGGATATCCTGAAAGCCTTCATCATATTAAATACTGCTAAAGGGAGGAGCCAACAAATTAGAATTAGTTTTGCTTCCTCTGGTGTAAAGAATACAGAGGCTGGGGTTGTGGCTCAGTGGTAGAGCATTCGCCTAGCACATGTGAGGCATTGGGTTCGATCCTCAGCACCACATAAAAATAAACAAATAAAATAAAGATATTGTGTCCATTTACAACTAAAAATATATTTTTTTTAAAAAAAGAATATATTTGTTCTTCCCATTTTCTATAGTATTGGTCCTTAACTTTTATTGGGTCATAGACACTTTTGAGAACATGATGTAATACATGGGAACTTTTTCAGGGAATGCAATTGGATACATATGCACAAACTATCATAAAATTTCAGGGGCTAATGACTCATAAAATCTGTTCATAGTTCCTCTAGTTTCAAAACCTCAAACTAGAGACTAAAGTAAGGAGAAAATAAGACTTAAGAACTCAAAATCTACTGAAGACTTGAAGAAGAAAATTTGATGTGTTTTTGTCTACATTAACTTGAAAACAAGTCAGTTTGGAGACAAAGTTGTTATGTTTAAAAAGCTTTCTCATAAATGCTTTTAATAAAAAAACCCCAAATTATATAAAATTTAATAGAATATGTCTCAAAATTACTCTAAAATTAAATTGCAATTAAATATAAGTCCTTGGTACTTTTTTAACAACAGAAAATTTATATTTTATTTGTTTGACATTTTTCTACCAGGACTTTTTACCAGTTTGTGTGCGATGGGGGTCTTGCCCAGGTTGCCCTTGAACTCTTGGACTCAAGCAATCCTCCTACTTCAGCCTTCCTTCTAACAGGGACTGCAGGTTGGCACCACCACACCTGGAGGATTAGGACTCCTGATAAATTTGGGTTCACAGGCAAAACTTTTGTGAAACAGTTTATTTTACAACACTCTGAAGGACATCAACTTTAGCACCATTTGTTTATTAATTACTTTATTGAGATATAATTCACATGTAAAACAATTTATCTCTTGAAATTATACAACCCAATGGTTTTATTTTAAGGTTCCTCACAGTTCTACAATCCACAGCACAATACTTTTAGAACATTGTCATCAAACCAAAAAAAAAATTCTGTAACTATTAGTCACCATTTCCTTGTCTACATTCCCCAACAATTCTAACCTTAGGTAACCACTAATCTTCTTTCTGTCTTTATAGATTTGCCTATGAAGGACATTCCATATGAATGTTCATACAATTGGTGGTCTTTTATGACTGGCTCTTTTACTTAGCATAATGTATTAAATGATCATCATTTTGTAGCAGGCATCAGGACTCCATTCTTTTTTATAGCTGCATAACAGTCTACTGTATGGATATACCACATCTTGTTTATCCAGTCATCAGTTAATGGACATGAGGTTGTTCCCAATTTTTGGCTATTAAGAGTAATTCTTAATATTATCAATATTTTTTGTACAGGTTTTTGTGTTTATTAGCGCCTTAACTTTTAACCACACAAGGCAAAAAGTCAAGAGAAAAATACTTAGTTTCAACAAAACGATGCAAATTTGTCTTTTGAGATACTGTTAGATGTTTTATGATTGAACCACTTCAATTTTGCAAACTTCTGTCTTGACAGGAAAAGTGGCATTGTGATACTGTTGAAGAATTAAGAAATACTTAAAGGCTGGATGTTCATTAAGATCCCTTCTTAAGCTATGTTAACAATTTAGTCTTTCTGTTACTCCTCCCTGAATAGAAAAGACCATAGAGACCAGGTTGTGGATGCTCTGTGTCCTGGGGAATAAACAACAAACATCGCTGAGCCCCTTGCAAGCAGCAACAACAGCTGTGCACAGGAGACTGAGACTTGAACAGAAGTGATCCCAGGAACATGACTTGCCAAGCTGCCCTGGTGTGTCCCATTTGGGTCCCAAATACTTGGTGCCCTCACCAATTTCCAACAGTGCTGGGCCTCTTTCTGGCTAGTAATCTGCTTGACCTTGGGCAGTGTTCCATGTCCCCCTCATAGAGACCCTCACTGCTGACTCTACCCTGCCAACCATCTCTAGCCCACCTCTGAGGTTAAGGACCCAATTTCAACACAGGATCCCATGCTGCTATAACACCCTCTGGGCTCTTGGTCTGCCATCTACTCAGGAGGTGCTCAGTGACTGTGTGTGCAAGGATGACCCATGGGATTTGCCATCAATACTAAGTATATGAGGCTAAAGGGTCAAAATGAATTTGACTCACTGTATTTGTTATTTATTAATTGTTGACAAATTTCTACAACAATCAAAGCACTTGGGAACCTCAACGTATTCCTAAGGCTCCTTCATCAGCTATTGTGGTATTATATTAACAAACTTCATTCATGGGATTTATCTGAAAGGAATACACTCAGAGGCATACAAAGCATATTCCTAAAGATTTCCTCCAGTAGAATGAACAAGCAAAAGACCCTAAGACAAGGTTTAACTAACCGATTATTTCCTTTGCTTTGCATTTCAGAGTAATCTTACTCGGGATTTTAAAAATCCAATTTCACTGAAATTTAGTAACATTTACCCGATGCCAGCATGGGAGGCACAGCCTGGAAGGCTGAATCACAATTTACTGCTGGGGGGCCCTGCCAAGCTTTGCCATTCTTTCAGAGGAGGGTTTCTCTGGGAAGCCAGCTTTTTTAGGTAGTCACTGGGCTCCAGGTGGGGAATATCAGGATTCTGCCTGTAGTACTTCTGCAACTTCTCCAGAACTGTGGGCAACCCAATTGTGGAAGCATAGAACATGGGCCCACCCTTGTGCCTTGGCCAGCTACACCCATTCAAGTAGATGGCATCAATGTGCTCTGGGCCAGCAGCCATCCCTTCTCCCAAGATACAGAACCCTTCATTGATGAGTGCATACAAGCAGTGCTCAAGGATCTCATCCTTGCTAATGACACGGGGTTCAATATGATGGGTTTCTCTGTACTGTGACAGAAATTTGGAAAGCCAGGGATCAGGTTTGTGAATCCGTCCCAATGGCTTGTCATATTGATACCACCCCCGCCCTGTCTTCTGCCCATAGCGTCCTGATTCACAGAGCATATCAGGAAACTTGGATTGGGCAGAGGGTAGTGAGGGGAAGGGAGGGGTTGTGAGGGTGGGAAGAATGGTAGAATGAGACAGACATTATTACCCTATTTACATGTCATAATTACCTGACAGGTGTATCTCTGCACCATGTACAGCCAGAGGAATGAGACATTGTACTCCATTTGTATACAATGTGTCAAAATGCATTCTACTTTCATGTATAACTAATTAGACAAAAATTTTAAAAATTGTTTTAGAACGAAAAAAAAAATAAGTTCAACATCAGCCGTCATAAGGGAAATGCACGTTAAAACTACAATGAATGCGGACAGCCTCAAATAATAGGAGTCATTTCTGAGGCTGGGTTACTAACAGGCTCTAGCTGTATTCTTGCCCATCTCTTGCTCACTCACTTGCTCACTCTGACAGAAGCCAGTGACAGGATGTGAGCGGCCCTGTGGAGAAGCCATGTGGCAAAGAACTGAGGGTGACCTCAGCCCATAGTGAGGGAGGAACTGAGGCTCTTGGTCCAAAAGCACAAAAGGAATGGAATCCAACCAAGCTAGGAAGATCCTCCCCTAGTTATCCCTGGGATGAGGACAGCTACAGCCAAGGGCTAGAATCCAAATCTGGATTATAGCATTGTATGAAGTCCTACAACCAGGAAGAGATGTATATCAGTGTTAGGGCACTTGCCTAGCAAGCATGAGGCCCTGTGTTCAATCCCCAGCATCACAAAGAAGGAAAAAAAATCTATAGTCAGAGGGCCTGGCTAATCGTACCTGATTCCTGACCCACAGAAATTGTTTTACAATTGTTTTATCTTAAGTCACTAAGTTTGAGGGTAAATTGTTATGCACCTACAGACCAACTAGAATGGTGATAATAAAATGACATCAATACCCAGGGTTTATAAGCATGTAAAGAAACTTGAAACCTCATACATTGCTTGTGAAGTTGTAAAACAGTATATCACATTGGAAAACTGTGATAGTTTCTTAAAATTATTGTTCAACTCAGGATTTTTACTCCTAGAAATCTGCCACCCAGAGAAATGGAAGCATCTGTCTCCATAAAATGTGTGTACAAATACTCACAGCAACATTATTCACAGTAGAAGTCGGAAACAACCCAAATGTCCACTGTCACAGTTTGGAAATAAGGTGTTCCCTGAAAGCTCATGTTTGAGACAATGCAGAAATATTTAGAGATGAAATGATTAGGTTATGAGAACTGTAACTAATCAGTGGGTTAATCCACTTGATGAATTATTAATTTGAAAGGACTACTGTACTGGTGGTCACTGTAGGCAGGTGGGAAGTAGTCCCTGTGGTGTGACTGTGAGGGTTGTACTTTGTCTCTGTGCCTCAGGCTTTGTCTGCTTCCCAGCTGTCATATGAGCAGCTTTGCTTCATCGTGCCCTCAGAACTTGATGTTCTGCTTCATCTAGACTCACAGCAATGTAGCTGGCCCACCATGGACTAAACCTCTGAAACCAGAGCTGTAATAAACCCTTCCTCCTCTAAATGGTTCTTGTTGGCTATTTTTGTCACAGTGATGAAAAGCTGATTCAGATATTCATCAACTGTTGGATGGATTTAAAAAAAAGGTGTGGTATAGCCACACCAGAATACTATTCAGCATTAAAAAAGGAGCAAACTACTGATAAACACTACAACACACGTGAGCCTCCGAACATCATGCTCACTGAAAGAAGCCAAATGCAAGAGATTATATATCGGATGGTGCCACTGATATGAAATATCCAGAAAAGGCAAATCTCTAGAGACTGAAGGAGGTTGCCTAGATTTTAGGATGGAATTTAGCTATAATGGGCATGAAAGAACTTTTTGGGAAGTGAGCAAGTTTTAAAATTGATATAAGGAGATGTTTGCAGAACTATAGATAGCAAATTATGCCTCACAGAAGTTCTAAAATTATATCTAGAAATGAAAAATCAAGAGCAGTGCAAGACCTTTCAGAAGAAATAAACTATAACATTTTATAGAAGAACATAAGACCACACCTTAAGGCTGGGGCCCAGTATGTGTGAGGCACTGAGTTCAATTCTCAGCACCACATATAAATAAATGAATAAAATAAAGGTCCATCAACATCTAAAAAAATTTTTTTAAAAAGATTACACTTTAATAACTTTAATAAAGAAGGACCTCATGCTCCTGGATACACATATTTAATAGTATAAAATATAAACACTGTCCACATTTACTAAATAGAAACATCTATTCAGAACACTATGATTCTATATTTTATTAAATAATCCAATAGATGATTCAAAAGTTTGCATAAACTAATAAATGTGTAATATACTATGGTTATCAAAACTTCAGCTATTACAAAAACTATTTTCTAAAAGTGCTGCTGTCTCAAGAATAAATCATTGTATGAAAAATGTATGTCTTAGCTTCATACATAGAAAACCTCCCATTACAGAAAGACGTATGACTCTGGCACCATGTGTGAACATGTGTCCCAGGGGATGGAGCATCGTCTGGATGTCATCATGTGCACATGGGCATTATGTAATCTCATCCCTTGCTGTAAGCTATGAGGCAAGACTATTTCCTAATACTTGATTACTTACAGTGTTGAGAAGAATACTTTTCAATGAATGATGTCCCACATGGTAAGAGCAGCATTCAGAAGAGGAGCAAAGACAGTGGTTATTAGCATGAGGGCCCTGCTGACTCTGCTGCTTTGGAGACACATGAACTGTACCCAAGAGACCCACAGATTACTTGCTCAACTGTTCAGTGAGTTAGCCCAGGCCTCAGTGTTGAGGGGGAGACAAGCTCAGCAGAGAAGGATGGGACAACCTACAGTCCACTGCTGGACTGGTGGCCTAGAAGGGAGGCAAGAGAGGACAGTGGGGAGAGCAGGAAGGGGAGGACAGGTGTGTAGAGGGCAAGTGGATGAAGAAAGAGGCGCAGCTGTCTGCATTGTGACCTGAACCTATTGCTGGCATAACCCTCTCCATGGAACAGAGCAGATGGATCTGGATGTCCCAGAGCTGGAGCTCTGTCCTGCCACACTGCTGCTGCTCCCACCATGCCTGGGGCTGCCTCTCAGAGCACAGTCACTCTTGAGTCCTTTCAGGAGTTTAAGACATTCAGATGACCTGGGGCCCACCAAGACTCAGTTAAGATCCTTAAGGGTGGGGCTTAAGACTGAACTCAGGGGCACTCGACCACTGAGCCACATCCCCAGCCCTATTTTGTATTTTATTTAGAGACAGGGTCTCACTGAGTTGCTCAGCACCTCGCTTTTGCTGAGGCTGGCTTTGAACTCACAATCCTCCTGCCTCAGACTCCTGAGCAGCTGGGATTACAGTTGTGTACCACCATTCCAGGCTGAGCAGGACAATTTTTAAAACAATTTTTAACAGTTGTTTTGAGCTATCCCTCCTGGAGGTCCGAGAGCAGGGGGTGTGTCAGCCACTGCCTCTGGGACAGCTGCAGGGTCTGGCAAGTTTGTCTGAGGCCAGAAATTGGAAAGAATAAAAGGGGAAAAATGAGCAAACCAACCAGAAAAGAAAAGCCTGCTTAATGGAATGAAGCAATTATTTCTGACCCACATCATCCTGTTATCCTGGGATCCTCAGAACCTCTCAGGCTGTGTGTGGGCATCCTGGGAGCTCTCCCAGGCACCTGTCCAGGACAGCCTAGAGCCAGATGAAGCACATCCATGGGACAGGTTTGGTCAGGGTGCAGACAGCCAGCTTTTCCCTGCCTCGTCTCCTCTCTCTCTCTTTCTGTGGCTGTAGTTGAAGGATGCTGTTTTCTTCCACTCTGGGTTGTTTAGCACAGAACATAGGCAGAACTTCCCCTTTACGTCTACAGGGACCATTGTTGAGTTATTCTACACTTGGTGAACTCAGACCACTGTTGGTTGGAACGTTTCTTCTTTATCCACTTGGTGTTCTTTAACTTTGTTCTCCACTGACTACGTTCATTAACATCAATTTTAGATTTTAGTAAGTCTTTAAATAATGTTATGACACAACTGTAATCAAGAAAATACACTGTCACACACTGGAACTTATCTAATAAAAGGTAAAAGTCAGCAAGCCTACATTAGCTGTGCAGGAGAATGGGGACAATAGGAACTACATAGTGATTCAAGTGTACTAATAACTGAATTCTCTCCATAGTTCATTCACATTAACTTTTTCTAAATTCTTTTTTTTTCTCTTTATTTTGTGGTGCTGGGGATTGAACCCAGGGTGTTCTACCACTGAGTTACATCTCAGCCCTTTCTTTCTTTTTATTTTTTTTAGTTGTCGATGGACCTTTATTTTATTTATTTATGTGCGGTGCAGAGAATTGAACCCAGTGCCTCACACCTGTGAAGCAAGTGCTCTACCACTGAGCTACAACCCCAGCCCATCCCAGTCCTTTTTTATTGTTTATTTTGAGACAGAGTCTCCTTAAGTTGCTGAGGCTGGCCTCAAATTTGCCTTCCTCCTGCTTTAGCCTTCCAGTAGATGGGATTATAGGTGACACCCCTGTACCTGCCCTTAATTTTGTCTTCACTCTATAAAGTCCTCTAAGGTTGAAGTATATTCAAGTTTTGATAAAACATAAGTGAATTATACTTTTGAAGGAAGAAATTAAGGTGATAATTTTCCCTGATCCCTTGTGCTAACCTGATAGGAAAAGATTCTCCTTGCCTAGACTACTGAGACTCACATGCAATTCAGTGAAACCCTTTCCTCAGACACAAAGGGCTGTCTCCTCTCTAACCCTGATAAGCAGCAGGCTGTGTGCATCCTTGGGGTTCTGCAAAGGACAGAACAGCTGTACGGTCACAGACTTCAGGGCGGGTCACCCACATGGGCATATGTAATACCTCAAGAGGATCCATGTGGACATGCACTGAGCCTTCTAATGAGACAGGGTCATATAAATCAAATAAATGTTCTCAGAGAGTACAAAGAGCAAAAGCAAAGAGAAAGACCAAGGAAACCACTAATTTTTTAAAATTGAACTTGCAGGTGAAATACAATGTACAAAGAACATAATCATTTGCCAGGGGTGAGGGTAGAGCAAGAGATTAAAACACTTCATCAGGGCTGGGGTAGTAGCTCAACAGTAGAGCACTCCCCTAGCATGTGCCAGGCCCTGGGTTCAATCCTCAGCACTACATAAAAGTAAATAAAATAAAATAAAAGAAAGATATTGCATCCAACTATAACTAAGAAATAAATATTTTTAAAAACACTTTATCACTTTACTTTCTATTTCTTGTGGAGCTAGGGATGGACCCCAGGGCCTCACACATGCTATGCAAACACCCTACCACTCAGCTACAACCAAGCTTCATTGAGAGTTCTTAAAAGATACGAAATCCAAATGAACAAATAGACCAAAGTCTTTGGGCAGAATTAGAGTTGTTAAAAACGATTAACACTGCCCAGCACAGCTATAGGACTAGTGTTTGTTACAGAGAC